CGGTCCGACATGACCCCATAAACCGTCCCGACATTTGATTCCGGTCAGCTTCTACAACGGTCCGACATAACCCCATAAACTGTCCCGACATTGATTCTGGTTAGCTTCTACAACAACGGTCTGACACGACCACACAGTGTCTGCTACATCGGTCCGGCATGACCTCGTAAACTGTTCTGCTACACCGGTCCGACATGACCCCATAAACCGTCCCGACATTTGATTCCGGTCAGCTTCTACAACGGTCCGACATAACCCCATAAACTGTCCCGACATTGATTCTGGTTAGCTTCTACAACAACGGTCTGACACGACCACACAGTGTCTGCTACATCGGTCCGGCATGACCTCGTAAACTGTTCTGCTACACCGGTCCGACATGACCCCATAAACCGTCCCGACATTTGATTCCGGTCAGCTTCTACAACGGTCCGACATAACCCCATAAACTGTCCCGACATTGATTCTGGTTAGCTTCTACAACAACGGTCTGACACGACCACACAGTGTCTGCTACATCGGTCCGGCATGACCTCGTAAACTGTTCTGCTACACCGGTCCGACATGACCCCATAAACCGTCCCGACATTTGATTCCGGTCAGCTTCTACAACGGTCCGACATAACCCCATAAACTGTCCCGACATTGATTCTGGTTAGCTTCTACAACAACGGTCTGACACGACCACACAGTGTCTGCTACATCGGTCCGGCATGACCTCGTAAACTGTTCTGCTACACCGGTCCGACATGACCCCATAAACCGTCCCGACATTTGATTCCGGTCAGCTTCTACAACGGTCCGACATAACCCCATAAACTGTCCCGACATTGATTCTGGTTAGCTTCTACAACAACGGTCTGACACGACCACACAGTGTCTGCTACATCGGTCCGGCATGACCTCGTAAACTGTTCTGCTACACCGGTCCGACATGACCCCATAAAGTGTCTCCTACAACGGTTTGACACAACCATATAGTGTTTCCTATCCTATTTTACCTTATTTGTCAATTTATTTTGTCTTTTTTGTTACTCTTTCCAAACTCAAGTTGGTTTGTAACCATCCTCCTTGAGTTTGAGGGGGGCTGTTAGAATATATTAGTAGTATATTAGCTAGTTGTATATGAGCTGTCTACCAACCAGCTTTCATAATGTTGTTCCTTAGTGCGTTGCCTCTTTCGGCCACTTTTGGCCCCTCTGTACACACTCTCCCCTATAAAGGAGAGTCTTCTCTGAACATTGTAATAACACATTCAATACATAAATCAATCATAATACATACAATTTATCTTCTCTGTAATTCTCTCTCTATCAATTTATCTTACAATCAAAGTTCGATTCATAGAATCTAGGGGTTTTTTCATCTATAGCCAATGGGTTTCAGCCAACCTTCATCTGTACAAATTGATTTTGGATTGGAGAACTCCAAAATTCCAACATGGTATTGGAAGAGCCTTGAGTGGTCCCGTGGGCCAAATCTCTAGCCTAATGCTGTGTTTGGTTGAAGGATTTGAGGAGGGATTTGGAAAGGGAAAGGGAAAAGGTGTGTGAAACTAGGTGAAATGTAGGTATATTTTATTCACATTTCACCAAATTTTTCATTTTTCCTTTCCAAATCTCTCTTCAAATCCTCCAACCAAACACAGCGTAAGTCTATTTCTTTTATTTTGTTCCTCTCGATTACTTTCACGTCCGATTGAGCGACACATGTAGAGAAGTGTTAGACTATGTTTGGATCTGTGACATGGGGAAAGGTATGTGAAGGGAAATGAAAAGGAAAGCCATAAACATACAATCTCACATCATTTTTGTAGGTCACCGAAGTGGTTCATATTGTCTATGTGCCCCTCCAATTTTGCCAGTTTGTTGAGTTGGATACCTCTAAAATGTAAATCAAACTAGATGACTTAGAAAATTGTGCATGTCAACAAGACCAGTCTCTTGATCCAATACGATTAAAAGAAACAAAGAAGAATGCATACAAGTGACAAATGATATAGATTCGAGTAAGAAAGCTATGAACCATGAAAAAATTAACTCAAAATCTACCTCGAACAAATTGTATAGTGTAAATTTGAAGTTAGTAAAATGTGAAACACACATAGAATAATTGTCATTCATAAATGTGTTTTTGTAGATACTTTTCTGTGTAATTTTTTTTAGTTTTACAGCATTGTTGTTCATGAGCTACCCAAAACAAGGCTTTCCGAGTCTAATTCTGAACCCATTTCAAAGTTGAGTTGGTTCCGAGGGTAGGCCCATTCAAAGCATTTCACAGCCTTGGCAATTTTTGGACACTGGTCTAGTAAAGCTAGCCAAGTGAAAATTTAAAATTTCATCGCCTATTTTAATGCATGGTAAAGTAAATCTGGTGCACAAGAAACGAGTGCATATGTGTATTATTATCCATACCACCAAGTTATACTATGTGAGTGTACATGTGAGACTAGTTAATCCAACGATTTATACCCATATATGATATGTTTCGATGGTATTTTTGACATTGTTATATTTATTTATTGAGAGTAAAAGTAACAGCAACATATATCTCGCCAGAGTAGGTTTTATCGGGGAGGACAACTCTATATTTTTGAGGTCGAAGTTCGGCCTTTCCCTTCTCTACCCTATTTGAGTTTGAGGGGGGGTTATACATATATCATGGTGAGCATGGTTATACACCATGTGAACCACCCAAGCCACCCCATGGCGCACTCCCTATGTCGCCCCCTTGGTGCACCACCAATCTTCTACAACGGTCCGACATGACCCCGTAAACTGTCCCGACATTGATTCCGGTCAGCTTCTACATCGGTCCGACATGACCCCATAAACCGTCCCGACATTTGATTCCGGTCAGCTTCTACAACGGTCCGACATAACCCCATAAACTGTCCCGACATTGATTCTGGTTAGCTTCTACAACAACGGTCTGACACGACCACACAGTGTCTGCTACATCGGTCCGACATGACCCCGTAAACTGTCTGCTACAACGGTCCGACATGACCCCATAAACTGTCTTCTACATCGGTCTGACACGACCACACAGTGTCTGCTACATCGGTCCGGCATGACCTCGTAAACTGTTCTGCTACACCGGTCCGACATGACCCCATAAAGTGTCTCCTACAACGGTTTGACACAACCATATAGTGTTTCCTATCCTATTTTACCTTATTTGTCAATTTATTTTGTCTTTTTTGTTACTCTTTTCAAACTCAAGTTGGTTTGTAACCATCCTCCTTGAGTTTGAGGGGGGCTGTTAGAATATATTAGTAGTATATTAGTTAGTTGTATATGAGCTGTCTACCAACCAGCTTTCATAATGTTGTTCCTTAGTGCGTTGCCTCTTTCGGCCACTTTTGGCCCCTCTGTACACACTCTCCCCTATAAAGGAGAGTCTTCTCTGAACATTGTAATAACACATTCAATACATAAATCAATCATAATACATACAATTTATCTTCTCTGTAATTCTCTCTCTATCAATTTATCTTACAATCAAAGTTCGATTCATAGAATCTAGGGGTTTTTTCATCTATAGCCAATGGGTTTCAGCCAACCTTCATCTGTACAAATTGATTTTGGATTGGAGAACTCCAAAATTCCAACATGGTATTGGAAGAGCCTTGAGTGGTCCCGTGGGCCAAATCTCTAGCCTAATGCTGTGTTTGGTTGAAGGATTTGAGGAGGGATTTGGAAAGGGAAAGGGAAAAGGTGTGTGAAACTAGGTGAAATGTAGGTATATTTTATTCACATTTCACTAAATTTTTCATTTTTCCTTTCCAAATCTCTCTTCAAATCCTCCAACCAAACACAGTGTAAGTCTATTTCTTTTATTTTGTTCCTCTCGATTACTTTCACGTCCGATTGAGCGACACATGTAGAGAAGTGTTAGACTATGTTTGGATCTGTGACATGGGGAAAGGTATGCGAAGGGAAATGAAAAGGAAAGCCATAAACATACAATCTCACATCATTTTTGTAGGTCACCGAAGTGGTTCATATTGTCTATGTGCCCCTCCAATTTTGCCAGTTTGTTGAGTTGGATACCTCTAAAATGTAAATCAAACTAGATGACTTAGAAAATTGTGCATGTCAACAAGACCAGTCTCTTGATCCAATACGATTAAAAGAAACAAAGAAGAATGCATACAAGTGACAAATGATATAGATTCGAGTAAGAAAGCTATGAACCATGAAAAAATTAACTCAAAATCTACCTCGAACAAATTGTATAGTGTAAATTTGAAGTTAGTAAAATGTGAAACACACATAGAATGATTGTCATTCATAAATGTGTTTTTGTAGATACTTTTCTGTGTAATTTTTTTTAGTTTTACAGCATTGTTGTTCATGAGCTACCCAAAACAAGGCTTTCCGAGTCTAATTCTGAACCCATTTCAAAGTTGAGTTGGTTCCGAGGGTAGGCCCATTCAAAGCATTTCACAGCCTTGGCAATTTTTGGACACTGGTCTAGTAAAGCTAGCCAAGTGAAAATTTAAAATTTCATCGCCTATTTTAATGCATGGTAAAGTAAATCTGGTGCACAAGAAACGAGTGCATATGTGTATTATTATCCATACCACCAAGTTATACTATGTGAGTGTACATGTGAGACTAGTTAATCCAACGATTTATACCCATATATGATATGTTTCGATGGTATTTTTGACATTGTTATATTTATTTATTGAGAGTAAAAGTAACAGCAACAGATATCTCGCCAGAGTAGGTTTTATCGGGGAGGACAACTCTATATTTTTGAGGTCGAAGTTCGGCCTTTCCCTTCTCTACTCCAAATGATAGAACATCCTTTATGTATATCCTACACAAAAAGAACACACTAAATCTTAATAACAATTTAAAATAGTGTTTGTTTGATTGGAAAATAAGGTTAATTAGATTTTTTTTTTTTTTTTTTTTACGTTGTTTCGCCAACCAAGTTGTCATCTGAGAGCTTGTGCCTGTCCATGATACGAAGAATAAGCTTATATGTTTGATCTTCATGAACACCTGGAACTGGATACTCTACGTTAAATGTCATTTTCTCATTCCATACTAGTTTCCTTCCTTCACCTGCATTTTTCGAATTTTAAATTGTGATTTATTGTTAGAATTTAGTTTTGACTTGGATTGCCTTTGAATCTAAGAATCTTAAGATTTGTGGAGCATACCCAACTTTAATTTAAAGAAAATGAAATAAAACAATAAGTAGAATTATATATATATTGGGGAAAGATTCTGGATCCAAACACTACCATCAAGACCAGAATGTGAATACTAGGTTAGGGTCAACATCGGGCTAAGTCGACCAGTGAAAATAGAGCCGAAGTCCGTTCATAGGCTAAGCCTAGCGGGCTTTTTTTGAAAGCTCATATTGGGTCAACCTGTGAGTCAAAACCTTAGGCCTAAGCCCTACCCAAAGGGATTAGCCCAGGGGCAACGGGTTGGGTCAACAAGCCAATCTCATGGCCTAGCCTACAAGCTTAGCCCAACAAGTTAAGATTCAAGGCCTAGTTGTTGTTGTTTTTTTTTTTTTTTTCTCATAATTTTTGACGAGCTCGTAAGCCAATCCAATCAGCTACGCCAACAAGTGGGCCAATGGGCAAGCCAACATATGCGCTAGCCTAGGCCCAAGCTTATTTGGGCCAGGCCGCCTATAATAAGTCCAACGAGCTCAACGTATTTGTTTATCGACCTTAAAAGTCAAACTTGAGCTGAACTTGAAAATTGATCAGGCTAAACTTCAATTGCTCATTAATACAAATCATGCTCCTTGATAATGAAGAAAAAGTTTTAACTCAATAAAAAAAATTAAGTCGGTTGATGAAATATTATTCTATATTATATAACTCATTTTACATTTATAATATATAAATAGGGTCTTATTAATAATTGCCCTTAGGGCATAAGAAAAACATAAAAAATTATCAATCTTGATGCATTTATTTTTAAATTCAATACACTTTTTATAAATTTTAAAATATTTTATAATTTTTTTATACTTTTTCAATATACTTTTTCTCACCTTTTCAAATATTAACAAGTGTCTCGACATTGAATTTATTGATTAAATTATAGGGAAAATTCAATATATGGTAGGGTTTGAAGGTTCAAAGTCAAGGGGCAATTACAGTGAGTCGCCAAGTGTTGTGGTTTAGTGGCCCCTATATACAATATGTATGAATAATTCAAAAAGAATATTAAAGAAAAAATCAATACTCTACCTAATTAATTTATGTATTTTATTCTTAATCCAATTACAACATATTTATATTTAACATTTTAAATAAATTTTTCGGTGTTTTGAGAAGTTGGGAAAAAAGTTGATTTTTTGGCTTTTTTAGCTTATTTTGTCTTTTTGTGGGTAAGTTATGTGAGAGGTGATGTGATCTAAAATGGGTAAAAAAATTGGAAACTAACTTTTTATCAGCTTCCCAACAAACTGTGTAGTTATATTTCTACATATTTTTATTTTCTAAATAAATATAAAAATAAAATTTAAATTAAATAATTAGAATCACTTTTAGTTTTATATTACTAATTCTCTTTCTAATTTAACTATTATTTTTAATATCAAAATGAGTATTTATTTTACTATCTTATAATTTAATATATATCATATAAAGTACAATAGAACTAAATTATCAAAATTATAATTTCTTTAGTATGATAATTTCATTATAGTACAATAGAACTAAAATTATCAAAATAAACAAATAATGTAACTAAATTTATTATTATATATAAGTATTCAAGTAGCACTTTTATAGAACGATAAGGCTAAAATTATTAAAATAAATCGTTAAAATGAAAATTTTATTTTAAATTAAATTAATATTATTCTTTTGTAACACATATTATAATATAAAATATCATTATATTAATTAAAGTTAACTCTTTTTTTTTATGTCAGACATCATATTTCTAGAAATGTTTTACATAAGAGTGTAGCATCAAATTTGATATTGATTGATTAAAATAACGGAACTCAATATTTTTTTATTAAATTTTTAGAAAATGAATTAACAAATGTCAAATGATAGTGTGGAGTATTATTAAAGAATAATGACTCATCGAAAATGATTGTGTATTTTAAGGCATCTATTGATGTTTCTTGAATAATTTTTAAATAAAAATTTTGAATTTATAGTATTATTAATAATGCACTTTTATGAGCTCTGCAAGAAAAGATATGCAAAAATAATTTAGTTGGAATAAAAATTTTGCGGTTGTTATGATGTGTCAAATAATTAATTAGAACCCCTTTGAGAGCTGAAATTATTAAAATTATAGAGATTTTCTGCCAGATTCCTTTTGAGGACACTGTTTATGATTTGAATTTATAATTTTTTCCACATCAATTAACTCTTATGATTTTACTAATATAAGCATAAATCCTACTTTTGAGTCAACCCACCTTAACATTTTTTCGTGTAATAAAATACTTAGATATTGTTATATAAAAATATTATAACAGATCATGATCAAGGAAAAGGGGTCACTGCTGTGCTAAAAAACACAGCAGTGACTGTGGTGCCTCCGTTTGAGGTGTATTATGATCTTATTTTTATGATCCAAACCGTTTATTTTGTAGGGTTTGTTGAGTACTTCATGCTTATCAAAAATCATATTAATCGGATATCAACAACTATATGATCGATAACCAAAAAAATAAATAATAAGTTTTTCTTTTGAGAAATAGCATAAACAATATGAAATTCGATCATATAATTATTGATATCCGATTAATATAATTTTGGTAGGCATGAAGTACTTAACAAACCTTACAATATGACGGTTTAAATCATAAAAATAAGACCATAATACACCTCAAACGGAGGCACCACTGTCACTATTGTGCTTTGAGCATAGCAGGGACCCTGTTCCCATAATCAAATAACACTTGAAATATAATTAAAGACCCGATGCACCAATTTAGACATAACAAAAAATATAAGAAATTAGTAAAGACCTTTTAATAACCAAAATAATACATCATGAGTTATAATCAAGTCATAAGTTGTATATTCTAGAATTTTCCATTGTTTTTATTTTTTTCAGACAAAAAATATTTTGATATAAGTGGAATTCATGATTTTTGATAAATTAGATTAACACAAATGAGAATTTGATTTTAGGTTGAGAATATACTCACTTTTTTTTAAACTTGAAAATAAATTATTTTTATGAGTCTATTTTACAAAAGATTATACACAATAACAATAATTTTCATCAGTCATTAACAAATCTATTTATCTTTACCTTTTAATTGTTAAAATTTTCTACACATGAAGTATTAAAATTCAAAATTAATTTTTTATTTTAAAAATAAAATCTTGTACATCGCACAAGTCCCCTTCTAATTTAAATACATAACGAATTGAGAAAACCTGAGCAAAATTCGCAAACAGCTCATTTATTTGCAACCTAGGGTGAAGCTCGCAAGTGAAAAAGGCCTATTAAGATTGGGTTGGGAATTTAAAATATTGAAATAGAAACAAATAAGCATTGTGAAGTGTGATTGATTCATGGTTACCTTGATCTGCAACGCAACTGGTAGATTCTTGGTTTTCATATTGAATCACAACATATGGACGCATCTTAATTGTATTACATGGATTAATACAATTGAAGCAACCTGGTCAATAAACATTGGAAATTCAAATATGTTTAAATTGATGTCTTTAATTAGAAGGAGATAAACATTTGTAAAATTAACGTTCTGTTTGGATTTTAAATTTTATAAAATTAAGAAGAAAAAAAAAAAAAAAACTTGTATATTTAGGAAATCGAAAGAGCGCATGAAGATTAAGAAAATTAAAACTTACCAAGAACACTTTCCCTGTCTTTTAACCCATAGGCATCAACCAACAAAACCTCCAGAGTTCCTTTTGCCATCTCTCTCTCTCTCTCTCTCTCTCTCTGAGACTTAGAATGTTGATTCAACTTTTGAACGAAAAAGTATTGTATTTGTAATTGCATCGGCCACTAATTCTTTAGTCTTATCCTTTTTCTTATTACTTCCAGTGAGTTTGTATTGTCTACATTTGGCTCCTTTTAAGCTATATTTGGTTGAAAGATTTAGAAATGAATTTGAAAAAGAAAAAAGAAAAAAATATGTGAAACTAGGTAAAAATATAAGTATATTTTATTTATATTTTACCTACTTTTTTCATAATATTCAAATGTTATTATCTTATATAATAGGTGTGTAGAAAGAAATTAAAAGGATTGTGTTTCCAAGATAATGATCCGACGTGCCATTCCTTAGGGATGTTGTGATTGGTTAGTTAATTGAAAAAAAGTAGTAGCAAATGCAGAGGAACCTTGCCCCATTCTAAGTTTTTCTGCGAAACCCACTCCAACGTTCACATGCTGAAACATTAATAAAAGTCTTATACGTAAGACCCAAGAAAAAAAAATTAGAGTGGTGGCTGGTTTAATGGGGAAGACTATTTTATTTGTAGCTTTTTTTATTTTTTTATTTTTATTGATTTATATCCATGTTTATACATTTAGCCACTAGTGTGTATCATATGTATTGTTAACATATGAATATACTTGTTAATATAATACTATATATGTATAGTATGTATAGATAGTTGTTAATATAATATGTTAACCAATTATAGCATGTATATAATATAGATAGATAGGATGCTCTTTGTCCCTGCTTTCGGTCGCCCGCCATCTTTCGGCCTCCTTTTCTTTATTATATTAAATTACATCATCATGATGTTTTGTATCCAGCTCCTATATTATGGAACCTCTATTTGGTTTCTGAATATAGAGTTTACATTACAGAATTCTCTTTCAATATTACTCTCTCAACTCTCTCTCAATTTCTCTTTCATGTATTATGTGTTTTTTGTGGTAAATATTATATAATTTTTAAGTAAAATTATAATAATTTGTGGTTTAAAAATGATATTATACATTTTGTGTTAATGTTACGTATTTTTGTGATAAGGTTTCTCATTTTTTTATCCAAATATTTTCTAACAAAACAAATGTGTAGCATTATCACAAAAATGTAACAAAAAAAAATACGTAATTTCATTTTTGAATTACAAATTGTGGTAATTTTATCAGAAAAATACATAATATTATCACAAAAATACATAACATAACTACAAAAATGTATAACAAATATACATACGATACACACATTTTAAAGGGTGTGTATCATATCATTAACCTAAAATTGGTGGAACACATCTGTGTATATGATTATTTCGTTTCAAAAAAAAAATATTATAAATTGTATAATTGAATTCAAAATTTAAAAATTAAAATGAATTTGAAAAAAAAAAATGCCCATGCAACTGCTAGAGCGACATTTTGAAAAAATTCAAAAAATGATATATCAACACCAATTACCTACTTATCTTTATAGCTAGTATGGATAAATTACACTGACCGTCCTTGAGGTTAGGGGTGAGCATGGTCCGGATTGGATTGGATTGGATTGAATTGGATTGGGGTAAAACCAGGACCAATCCGTTATTTACGGTTCTTGAAAATTTGGAACCAATCCAATCCGTTTAAAACATGGAACCAATCCGAACCAATCCATTTAAATATGGATTGGATCGGTTTAGGATCACAGATTCACATAATTAAATAACAAATATATATATATATATATATAACACTTTAATTTCATAAAAATATAAACATAGCGCTATATCAGTTCCATAATAGTAACATGTTTTTCTATAATAGCGACATACTGTTCTAGAATTTAAACAACCATAAGAAAACTAGTTTCACCATAAGTTTTTAGACCATTACAAATTAAAACTAAAAACTAACAAACAAAAGTAATAAAATAAGATATTATACGGTTTTAGGTTTGAGTTTAGATTTTATATATAATAAGAGAAGATACTATGGGGGAGGATGTATAATAAAAATATAGACTATTTGTATACGGTCCGGATCGGTTCCAATCCAGAACAGTGGGGTTCAATCCGGAACCATTCCGTGGACTACGGATTTTTAATTCTTCAATCCGGAACCCAACTGCAGATTCAAAAAATCAATCCAAACCTATCGGATTGGACTGGACTGGACTGGACTGGACTGGATCGGATTACGGATTTCACGGATTTCTTACTCAGCCCTACTTGAGGTTTGGTCCAACTCACCCTTTGATGTTCTAAAAATTATATTTTCACTCCTGTAGTTAATAGTCTCATTTCACAAACCCCCATACTTATATAAAAAATAACAACTTCTAGTAGAAAAATAGAAAAAATTACATTGAAAAAAAAAAGTAAAGCGAAGAAAAAAAACAAAGCAAGAAAATAGAGAGTGCATTAGTTCAATATCTTCATTCCATCTAAATAATTACAATGACAGGGGGATTAGTGTAATTTTTCAAACTTCAGGAGGTAATATGTATTAAATTCAAACATAAGAGGGTGTAAGTGTAATTTACCCTTAGAGTATAGATAGATAGATATAAACGCTATGGAATACAAATAATATATATATATATATATGTGTGTGTGGAGAAAAGAGATTGACCCCCTTGAGATTTAGAGAAAATACAAATTTTATAATTTTGACATAATTACGAAGACTTTCTTTTGAATAAAGTTAAGGGAATTAGAATTGATGTTGATGATGTGAAGACACAAAAATAAATAAGATAAAACATATATTTTAGTATAAAAGAAATGACAATATTATTTTTCAATCCATATAATTAATAAATTATTAATAAAAATACGTCCCAATATAATTATGTCAATTTTATAAAATTTTATATATTTTTTCTGAACCTCGAAGACAGTAGTGTAATTTATCGTATACATTTAAAGTTGAAACTCATCCATATTATAATCACAACGTAGGACTCTAATGTTGAGATTTGCTTGGTCTTTGTTTTAGTAATAAAGAATAAAAACAAGTTGTTAAACAAAAAAGATGATGCAAATGCATCTAGGAGTGGTTACAGGGAGTGGTTATTTTTCTCCTAACCCATTTATATTCCTAATCCATTTGGATTATAAAACTTGTCATCATAATAATATAGTAACCCCCCCCCCCCTTTTCTTTTTCTTTTTGAATTTTTTGACTTTTTATAAAAATATGTGTAAAAAAATAAAAAGAATAGTATGATAATTTATAGTTAGTTTTTGACTTTTTAACTAAAATATTTAGTCTCCAAACAAGTACTCCATTTGAACTTTGAATTTGTGTGGGAAAAAATATGAAAAAAATAAATAATAGTAAAACAATTACAAGACAGTGAAAAATGGGAAAAATATTTACCAAAAGTTGGGCGTGCAACTTTTGTTGTAGTTTTATTGCACAGAAAAAGTTACACCCCATATATAATTATTTTTAGTCTTTTGTACTGAATTATAATTTCTCCCCAAAAAACTAACTCCTACTTGTTTTTTTTCTTTTCTTTTTCCTCCGCAAATTCAAGATTAGAACATAGTTTTATAAAATACAATTTCATGCATAACTTTGTTGTAAAAAATAAAAAATAAAAATAAAGATTTGATAGAGTCAAATTAGCACTCCTAAGATAATCCAAGTGAATCACCCACCGGCCAGATCTTGATGGTCTATCACGATTTGGGTCAATTTTGGAGGAAGAATATCAACCAAAAGACTTTTGTCGAATTGAAAATTTTTTAACCCATTGCTAACTCGCTATCTTCAAAATTGATAGATTGGTTAAATATTTTAATGGTTTCAAACTTGTAGTTGGTGTGGATTAAAAAAAATTAGAATGAGAGAAATATTAGTCAACAAGAAATTTTAAATTTCAACAACAAAAAAATAATTTATTCAAAATTTCAACACAAAATTCACAAGTTAATATGTGATGAAAATGAATAGTATCTGTCATCTTATTAATGGGTTACTAAAGTTGGGAGAAATAATGTGTGAGCAAACGCAAGATAATTTTAAATTAATTTGTAGGCAAGTTAATAAATTTTAAACAAAAAGCTAATCGATCCACCAATTTTTATTATCTTGCCTAACCCAAGTTGCTCACCTTTTTAAACTGCACCAATTAGGTGGTGTTTGGGAAGCAAGTTCCCAAATTTTTTTCTCATTTTTTCCATTAAAAGACGAAAGTTTTACAAAATCAAAAAAAAACACATCCAAACAAAATATCACATCCAACCCCATAATCATTTCATTTTTTCTCTCACAAACATCACTTCCAACCACATAAAAACCCAACTATCTTCCCAAACACTAAAAAATTTTTATCTCATAAAAACCTAAATCTAATAAAATCTACATAAAAACTCACTTCCCAAACACCCTCTTAGTATAGATTGGCGCAGCTTGACAAATTGATAATTTTTTTTACACCCATAATATTCACTCTCTCCTCAAGGAAATCAATAAATTACTAATTATTTTACCAACCACACATATATGTGTGCAACTTATAGAAAAATAACCACCGAGGGTGGTGGCCCAGTGGTGAAGGCATTGCCTTCCCACAGCCATGAGTGAAGTTCAACTCTTGGGGGCACGAAATTCCTGGATTTTCCAATTTTCCAGGGGCTCGCTTCTGCGACCTGCCTTAATCCTATAGTTAGAAGCGTACCTATATCTAAAACCCATACCAGAGTCTATGTAACATAGCAAATAGCCACGCAGAGTTCAAACAAACAAAAAAACAAACATACCAAATGGGGATCGAATGCAAATAGAAAAACTTGAACCCTAGACCTATCAGAACCAAAGCTCTGAGATGATATTAGATCAGCAATTGTCTCAAGAGCTTAAATTGTGAGGAAATGACCATAGTGGCAACATCTATTTGATTTTCTAATTTCACTAGTCTATCCTGTGACAAAAGTGGGAATTAAATTAAAATTGCCCATTTCACAAGTACTCTTCTACATCCACCAGAGACAGGGAGTTTTAAGAGGGCGAAACTAACCAACCATTCCTTATGACCCTGAAAACCTTATTGATTAAGGTTCTTCACAGCAGTCACCAATCCAG